ACTAAAGCACATAACAAAATGAGTAAAACTTGAACATCAAAAGTGAAAATATAAAAATAAAAGCTAAATATAGAAGGATAAAAAGATGGTCATTCAGGTTTGGCATGACATGAAGTAATTTTTGCTTTTGAGTGGTAAGATTGTAAAATCCCTAACCCTAAGTTTGAAAATCAATTTAGGTAACCAACTGCATAATTACTTTAAAATCCACACATTACACAGTTTGCAAAGTCATTCTGTTGACATCTTATATTTACCTTCCGATGCAGGGTGATGCTCCTTGGAGATCTCGATGCTGGCAATTAGACTCATGATCTTTTCAATCTACAATACAACATCAAGAAAAGAAGGGTTATAAAATGCAGTTAAATATTTAATTTCGCTGTAATCTGCCATGACAGTTTAGTCTTCATTTTACGTCTTTACAACTGATTTCAATTCATAATTCATACAGTTGTTTGCCAAGACGAATCTAAAATGCAGAAAAATGAGCTTCTCCTAAAGAGTAAAAAAGATCAGAACTGACCAGAAGGACCAGAACTGAAAATGTTCATGAAAAGGAACCAGCAAAAACCTAAATACAATTAATAATCCAGGCACCCTGAGCGATATACAAAAAAACACACAGACTAGACAAGCAAACCGAAATCACATTTATAAAAACACTTTCCATCCACATAAAAGCTTGACGATTACTCTCCAATCAATATACTTTTAGGAGAGGCCTGAAATAGAAAAACGCTGGTTTTTGATGTAATATTTAAAGTCTGGCAAATTTATCTGCTGTGTGCTTGTGGCATCAACATGCTGGCAAGCCCCTAGATTCATTTAGCAGTCAGATGCCACGGCTCACGTGCTAGATCCCCTCAAGCCATACAGGCCTTTGCATTTCCCACTCTCAAGTAACCTACATACTGTACTGACTTACTTCTGCACACTTCTCATGTCTATCCACTATAGAATGCACAATGCATCATCACTCCGTTATATGGTACACTTCCCAGAATGCCTCAGCTGTCTGTGCTCATTCCAGGCTTCATCTCCTCGTACATGTTCAGAAGTCAAGACATTAAGAGAACGCAGGACATTTATACAAAACCAGGCTTGAACTATAACGAAAACTACATCAACATGAAATCAAAATGAACTCAATTTACTTTTCTTAATGCAAGACAAGTCTTTTTCTGTATAGTTCATGCTATTCCAAAGTAAAACTAATCAACTTCCATCAAATACAATGAAGTCATACACCACATATTGTTTTATTTGGAAATGCATAGCATTCACAAACCCTTTTTACTTTCGTAATATCTTTCATATTGACATTAAGATGAATTTATAATAATATTGTTGGTTTCATGTCAGAAGCCTGTACTGTGGTGGATGACAACTATACTTTGTAAAATTTAACATTGTAAAATTGACTTTCTATGTTTATCTTGACACAAAAATGCATCAGTATAAACTCCTTTACACCAAATCTGAAATATTATACAGCAATTATCCTGTTTTAATTTTATACTACACTGTAAAATAATTCCATAAAATTTATGGTAAAAAACGGTAAAATACGGTAGCAACATTTTAGGTTTTACGGTTTTAACTTAAATTTACAGTTAAATACCGTAATTTCATTAACTGATATAATGTTACTATACCAACCTACTGAAGTACTGAAATCTGTTTTGTACCTTTGTAATACACTGATAACCACCAAATGCAGGAGGTGATGAGAAAGTCACATGATGAACCAAAGCCCATCACAAGCTGCTTTTAAATAATAACATATATAGAAGGTGCACAGTGTCATTCACACAAACACTAAACACCATCATGGTAACACACATGAAACTGAAATAATGCAATAAACATTCATTTAACAACATTAGGTGTAACATACAACCCTAATATACAAAACTGATAAGAAAAAACTAAGAAGAAACATAGTTATTTCAATAAAAAAAACATCAAATTTGAAATGTAACGCAGGGAATTCTGGGAAAGTCAATTTACGGTTATTCACTGTAAATGATATGGTCTTTTTCACTTCTAAAAACAGTATACTACCGTAAAATTACATGTAATGTCCAATACAGTTTTTCACCATATATAGTAGGGGAATTTACCGTTAACCATTTAACAGTTTTTTACTGTAGCATTTTTACAGTCTTTTACCGTTAAATTCACAGTCATTTTTTACAGTGTAGGTATTTTAAATTAGATACCATATAATAAATTCAAGCAAGTATAATTTAATATCATTAATCATTATCATTAATAACATTGATATACCATTATAGTTTTTACAAATATTTTCAATTAGATTTTATTTTTATATTTTACATTTTCACTTTAATTTGAGTTAAAGTTTTATTCATGTTGCTGTGTTTTGATCATTTTCATTCGTTTTTTAATGTCTAAATAGTTTTTAAATTAATTTTTATTTATTAGTTTTAGTTTATTTATAGCTTTAGTTAGATTAAATAAAAATGATAAATGTTTTGGCAAATCTCTGAAATATAATACATTTTTTATATTTTATTTTATTTCAAGTAATGAATTTTAAAATAAATTAGCATATTTGTAATGTTTTTAGTTTTAGTTAACTATATAATCCCGTATCGGATTTATGACAAAAAAAAACAAGCCCTAAAACAACACATTTAACAGAGATGGAATAACTGAACCATTAACTTCAGTTGCAAATCGATTTCTGTCCATGAATTTTATTATTTGCTTTTTTTAAAGAGTGGGGCGAGTCTAACATTTTTAGTGTTAATCAAAAGCAATTTTAACCCAGAATATTCCTTTAACAGCTTTGTGAAGAGTTTCAGATTTTCATTTACAAACATACAGTGCGTATGAAGGACTTTAGACTTCATATATTGACTGCAGATTTCTTCAAAATGTGTAGAATTTCGTTTTTGAGGAATTCTCTGAAGTGTAGACTAATGTAGAAAAAGACAGAGAGAGAGAGAGAGAGAGAGAGAGAGAGAGAGACGTAGCGGGAGAGTTATTGCGGTTGTATCCTACAGCAATAGAGTTCCAAAAACAGTTCATGAAAGGCGAGCATTTTCATTCTGCAGAGACAGCAATAAGGAACATCACACAATGTCCAACCTAATGAGTGAATATGTAGAAGCCAGTGAGAAAATGTGAAGTCGGGGGGTAATATAGATGTGCCAGAGTAGTAAGAAGATTACAGGCTTCAGAGACTGGAGTGATGGCCAATGCCTTGCTGACACCACAGAGCCACTCTGATTAAAGCAGAGACACCATGACAGTGGGATATGATCTCATTCTGAAAATGACATATTTTGCCATTTTACAATTCCTAAGAATGGAGAGCGACTGTAAATCTGTAAATGCGACTGTCAGTAGATACTTCCAAACTATCTGTGACCAAGTTTTACAGTGCATTCAGTATTACTTCAAATTTAATGTAAGAGCAGAATTTAATAAATCATATAAAATAATACATTTAATAACACATAATACCTTGTTGTACTTTGAAAATCCATACATATCAGAAAATAAAAAGTATTGTATATTCTAATTAAACATTATTTTAGCCAAGTTTTACATCCAAAAAAATGAGAACAGCACAAAAAAACAGCTTTTGTATACTATTTTGAAACTAGGGTTGTCAATCCATTTTTTATTAAAATAATTATAATAATTATAATCATATTAAATTATACAAGTTACTTAATTTATTAAACTATTTATTCATTAATTAAATTAATAACTGTAAATCAAATAAATAAACAATCAAATAAATAAATGAAAATAAAATAAAATGAAATAAAATAAAATAAAATAAAAAATAGTTTAGGGTTCCTGCATTACTGAAAGAGGTTCAATATAGTGTAAAACAGTTTACAAATGCTTGCTTTGTGCTGTTCTCATTTTGTGCCTGTAAAATTGGGCTAAAATAATAAATAGATTCAAAAATTCTAAAAAGCATAGACAAGACATCAAAGTATGACAATACATTTCATACTTCTAAATTGTTTTATTTAAAACAAAATAGTTCAGGTAGTTAGTATGCATTCAGTCTACATTTTTATTTGAATCATTTATCTTTAGTGACAAGCACCAAGTCTTGCGAGTCATGGCGCATGATTAAATGCATTAATGCTTTTAATGCATTATTTTGGTTATAATTACCTGCATGTTAAATTGGCAGCTTTCATTGTTAACCTTTTGACATTTATTTGCTCGCTCTACTTGCATTATTTTATTCATGTAAATGCAAATAAATGTCGTTTTTGAAGAAAAACAAAATGAATGGCAATTGCAGCTAATTGTGTGCTAACTTGCTAACTTGCAAGCCGTGTGTGTGGAACGGGCCGTAAAGTCTCAGAAGCTCTCTGACAGGTGAAAGCATTTGACGCCCACTTCTTTTCCCCCCATGCACATCTTTCAGATACGTTCCCCCTGACATCCTCCGTTTGCATATGAATTATGAAGAGACTTATACTGCCATCTGTGGAAAGCGTGTTTGACCGCTCACTCAAACACAAAATTATTTTTAAACAGGTTTTCTGCAGAAGTGCTGAAACATTAACACACTGAGCTATGGGCTGCTATAGTCACACTGACAGTGTTAAAAATGTGCATGGAGGAAGGCGTCAAAGGTAAAATTTATAATTACATCAAAATTTGTAAGCATTTCAGTTTCACTGTAATACTTTGGTACGTAGTATTTAGCATGGTACTAAAAAAAATTATCATTTTCATTCATTTGCCAAGCTAGTTACATTACAATTCAATCACATCAAAGGATACCATAGTAATACTGGATACTGCCTTGGTACAGGCATAAGAGAACATTTTTTAAATCAAAAAGATCACACAGTTCAGAAGTTGTGTCCGAGGAACGTTCATTACCGTGACTAACGCACAAACGCTGATGCAGCTGTTTTGCGGTGGGATACGGCGTGAGCGTGTGCCAGCATGTTGGCTCTGAGTGGGTTTGTATCGGTGTGTTAACAGCAGGACCACCTCATCCTCCCAGTCATTTCTCCAAACCCTCCCTCTCTCAGACTTATAGATGTCATCTATATATAATGTGAAACAGGATGTTCTGAGAACAGGACACTCCACCCTGACAGCAGCTCTATTAAACTGCTTATGTCTACAGTTGAAATCATGCTCCAAAATCTGATAATATAATCCTTCCCAGAACCACCTGAGAATAATGTTTCATAAAGCTTTTAGTATAAATGTGATCAAAGTTAAGAAGTGGTAAGTGTTTTTATTACAAAATGGATAGTTTTGATTCTGAATTCTGATTGGATGATACTGATTTGTAAAATACTTGAAATATGCACTCATGTGACTGCACAACTGAATTGAATATAATGAATTAGCAATGACCTAAACCCTAGCAAGAACCTAGAAAAGCAAAGCAACCGCCTAGTAACACCTTAGATACCAGTCAGATACCCATAGCAAAAGTGTTGTTTTAGTATTTTTTTTTACTATTATAGTTCTTATAAAAAGTTTGAATTAGATTTTACTTTTATATTTTCAGTTTTCGTTTGAACTTTTTAAGTTTTATTTTTGTAATTTTGTTAGATGTTTTTGTCTTTTTTTTTTTTAAATATTGCTATTTAGGTTTCATTTATTTTTTATCTCAATTTTAGTTTTATTTCAGTTTTAGCTTTTATTTATTCCCAGTTAGTAATTTTAGTAAACAAAAATTAGAAATGTTACATTGACAACTAACTGAAATAAGTTTTCTTCTAATATTAATATTTTATTTTAGATTTATTTAAATTAACTAAAATGGTTTTTAATAGTTTTTAGAAACTTTTTAAACTAAATCTCTTAAAATTCATTTTCTATAAATTGAAATAAGGCCAAAATAAAATATTAATTTTACAAGAAAAACATTAACATTTTTTTACATGAAAATCAGAAATGTTACATAACTGAAAAAAAAAGTACTAAAATTACTAACATTAGAAATGAAATAAAGATACATTTAAACTATACAGAAATACTAAGAAATACCATTTAAGAAATAATTAAAAGACAAAACCCAAAACTAAAAATTTAAATTCTAACTGAAAATATAAAAATGAAAGCTCAAAATATTCACAAGATTAATAAATAATAAGAATATAAATACACCTTGTGGACAACCACCTAACAGCATCCAAGCTGTCACAAAACTGCACAGGGACGCGAAGGCTGAGGATCCAAGTGCAGTAGCTTATTAGAGGGATAATCCACAACAGGCATGAGGTCAAACACAATAAGCAGTCCAAACAATGACAGAGTTCAGGGCTGAGGCAAACAGAGCAATCCAGAAAAACAAGCAGAACATCAAGAACCAGGAAAACAAGACACAAGAGAACCAGGATAAAAGGCTTAGAACTGCAGCTGTGACACATGCAAGACTTCACAATGAGTGACAGAATGAACCAGGCTTATATAGCGTGAGCAGATAGGGTTAACGAGACTAGAGGCCTGCTACCCGAAATACTTTCGGGTTTTGGGTCGGGTTCGGGTTAATGTTTAATGAATAGCTTCGGGTTCGGGTCGGGCTCGGGTTTATAGCTAAACTAAAACTATAGGCTACGCTGCTTTCATAGATGCACGCACACACATTTTATTTTATTTGAAACTTTTATTAGTAAAATAGCTTCGACAGGCTACTGACTCGCAACGTTATATTTCTCTGCAATGAGGGGGTAAAATCGCTGTTTTTGAAGGAACTAAGCCTCATTGCTTGTAGAGAGAGACACGCAGACACAGGTTCACACACGCAAATTTCATCTCTCTCTCTCTCTCTTTCTCTCTCGCGCGCTAATTCAAATAAATGATATAATTAATTCAAATAAATGCGATCTTACCGCACTGCATCTCTGTGTCTGATTTAAAGCAGGCCGAATGCTAACGAGCCTTAACTGACGAAAATTACTATAATTTGCACGATGGAAGAATTATCGTATTGTCGTATACAACCATTCTCTCGGCAGAATTTATGTGACCGCTGCACCTGATGTTCATAAACTTTCATAACTGGTAAGTGTTTTTTCTTTTGCCTTGTGTACTGGCCGAGCCTTAATGATTCTGTTTCTTTACATGTTTTTGCTTACTGACTGTTGCATGCAATCGCGAAATACAGCATTTTTTTAAATTGGCTATTCGTTGTGGGGGGAAAAAAAAAGATGTCGGGTTCGGGCTCTAAATTTAACTGTGCCGCTCGGGTCGGGTCGGGTCGGGTCAGACGATCTCGGGTACGGGCCGGGTTCGGGCTTCGCTTTAAAGCCCGTGCAGACCTCTAAACGAGACACAGGTGCAAACAATGAGTACTGGCAAGTTTCTTGCAAAGGATTATGGGAAATGAAGTCCAAGATTGAGTGACAGAGGTATGGGATGGAGTGCCCTCTGCTGGTTATCAAGGGCACTCCAGCTGGTGATCGTGACACAAGCAATCATGGATTGTAAACCTAAACAAATACCTATAGCAATAACCCATAAAACCTTAGCAATCTGCTGCTGTTTTATGAAAGCCACTCAAAGCAGTGCAATACAGGGTTTAAAAGTTAAAACAAAAACCACTGTAACGTCCAAGTTTAGGTGGCTTAAGGCTTTTTTTTATTTACTGAAAAAAACGGATACATTTGTCTAGTTAAGATATTGTTACAGCAGTATCAGCTGATGGCGATCAGTGACTGAATCAACATGCGTGTTTGTCACTGTAATTAGCACAAGGTGTGAAGGCAGCGCTGCACTGTTTGGAGTGATGATGACTAAAGCTCTGGCACGAGGCGAGGGGAGAGGAGCGCCTGTGTGTGCGGTGTGGGCCGACCCCTGGGAAGCTTCCTGAGAAGATGCGGAGTGACAGTTAAGGCCCAATTAGCCCCGTGCACTGCGGCCAGCATAGAGCAACAGAAGGACTGATGGGCCCAGCCAAGCATTCAGCCACTGGCGCTGATACTGTCAAGACTCCCTCCCTTCCTCCTCAAACTTACGCACTGCTAGAGCTTCTTTCCCACCCACAACCAGTGCTGGAGAATGTTACTTTTAAAAGTAACACATTACATTGATGCACTGGCCATAATAAAAGTTTTAAAATGAAACAAAAAGTTACATTGTTACTTTTTATGCAAAATAACATGACAGTTACTGTTATTCGGCTCACTCTCTCAATAGTTCAACCAAAAATGTAAATTCTGTCATCCTTTACTCACATGGTTTGTTCTGAACCAATGTTATTTTGTATTATTCACATACTTTTATAGTTTTTATTAATATTTTAAGTTAGCATTTTCATTTTAATTCTAGTTTAATTTGTATTAATATTATTATTTGATTAATATTTTATGTGCTTATGTTTTTGTTTTATTACTTTTTTAAATTTTCTTCAGCTTATTTTATTTCAGTTAGATTCCAAGAAAACATTTGTAATTTTCTTTTCTTTTCAATTTTCTTATTTTTATCTTTTAAAATTTTTCATCTAATATTTAAATTTCATTTCATTTTATTTATTTTATTTCAGATTTATTTTAATTAGCAAATCAATTTTTAACATCTTTAGTTAACATGACTATGTAGGCCTTTGCGCTAATGTTACAAGGAAGGAGGAAAATGCATTTGTCTGAAAATAAATTACATAAAAAGAAATGTAGGTATACTGGTATAAATTTTATAAACGTAACATGTTATGTTATTGCATTACTCCTAAAAAACAGACTAATTACATGAAATTGTTACATGACTATATATGGTAAAGTGAGAGGTTTGAAACTGTAATTTTCAGTAAATAAATAAAAACATTCTTTTCCAAAATGCTATCACTTTACTTGGCTAGCATAGTTGTATTTATAATTTTTTTTTTTTTAATAATTTTGGACAAGGCTGACATACTGTAGCACGCAAACGTTTCTTATTAGTATCAATGTTGAAAACAGTTGTGCTGCTTCATAGTTTTGTTGAAAACAGCAAAACATTTTTTTCAGGTTTCTTTGATGAATAGAAAGTTTAAAATAAAAGCTTTTTCAAAAATCTTTTGTAATATAAATGTCTTTAATGTCACTTTTGATCAATTTAATGCATCCTTGCTGAATAAAAGCATTAATTTCTTTAAAAAAAACTAAATCATACTGACCCCAAACTTTTGAATGGTAGTGTATGTTAAAAGTAACTTTCAGAGTAAAATCAAAACTACTAACATATCTGCTCTGGTGGGAGGAAGTCTCATGTTCTCCCTCCTCTGCTCTTAGTTCATCAGCTCTTACCTCGTCCCACTCGGAGGCAAACGAGGGCATCTGCTCCATTTCTTTCCTCTCAGCAGCACAGTTGGACCGGGATTCGCTCCGGCCACCAAGAGGCCCGTCGTCCTCACAATGAGGGGAAGCCAGCAAGTCGCAGTCTAATTTAGAAAGGCTGCGTGCCAACTTCAGATGCCCAGGTAGCTTCCTCAAAGCCTGGGGTGACGGTTCGGACGACCCATCACTCTCAGTCTGGTCCGGACGGGCCCGAGTGTCTGGTGTGGGATTGGACATTCCTGGCTTGGCGTTGCGGGTTTTTCTCTCTGGAACAGCAAAGCAGGGGTCTGGACACAAATCCTCTTTACCTGCAATAAGCAGACTACTAGTCCTTGTCCACCTGGTATTATTCAGCGTAAGCCTGTATTATCCATGGAATTAAACTTAAACTAGCAGCCCCCTGGATCTACAGCAGTACTAACAACTGTAAGCATTCTTGGTACTAGTGTTTTTCAACCAGGGAGGGTTTAGGTGCCTGATCTACATTGTCACAGGGGTCCACCCACAGTTTGTGTTCCTCTGCCCTCCCCTTGCCAAGAAACTCTATGGGTTTTTTTAAAAGACTCTTTCCTTCCCCTCCTTGCCTGTCTGTCTGTCTGACTAACTACCGCGCTCACTATAGAGGCCCCGGTTCTCTGCAGTGCATAACTCAGAAGCTCGCAGCCTAAAACAATTGATCACAAATCAATCAACAGCTTACATTAAAATGTGCATAATACAGCCCGAAATAACATCAACTGAAACTACGGGGTTAGACTCTTAAAGGAGGGTTTTTTAAATAATTAAATACAATAATTATTAAAAAATATATTTTTGCTATAATAAAATAATGAAATAATTATTAAGATGAATAAAGTTCAATGTAGAACAATATGTTGAAATTGTTCTTTGTGTCAGGGTTTAAGGTCTTTACTCTTGTCTATAACATTTAAATAATAAAATAAAAATGTAATAATGTAATTCAAATAATAAAATACATTTTACATGTAAATTTCATTAAATTATTCAAGTTTAATTTAAATAAGTTTATTTTATTATTAGATTATTAAATTTAATTTTAGAACAATATCTTGAAATAGTTCTTAGCCTTAGGGTTTATGCTCTTTATGGTTTACTAAATAATTAAATTTAATAATAAAATAAAAACTGAAATAAGAAAATAGTCATGCATAAATAATAAATAATACAATTTATTTAAATTTTATTTATTTAAATAATAAAAATAAACTTTAAATTTAATTTTCATTAAATTATCATTTAAATCAAATGTTATTACATTTTGTTAGATTATTAAAGTTTAGAACAGTATGCTGAAAAAAATTATTTGTGTTAGGGTTTAAGGTCTTCACGCTTAATTAATAAAATAAGAAAAATAAAAAATTATTTAATTTGAATAATAACATCAACTTTAAATTTAATTAAATTATTAAAATTTAATTTACAACAATAATGGTTTTAGGTCTTTATTCCTGCTCTAAAATTTATTTTCTATATGGAATCCACAAAATACAGTAGCATTTAACACTAAAGATACTATTTGGAACCATTTTTCCTTATTTAAATTTACACCATTAAAAGTACACTAACATCACATGTTTTTGTACAAAAGTATATTACATTATAAGTGCTACAGAATAATATCTGCTCAGCCCACATCACCATCTCTAAAGTGAAAAACACGCATGCAAGCACAAAACACTTGAAACACACAGATTTAGCTTTATCTGAAGTTACTCACTCCTTTGTCTCCTGTTGTGGTTAGCTCTCCACGTCTCTCTTGTCATCTCACCCAAGCTGACGCAGCGATGGGTCCTAGATCCAAGACCTGGCCTTATTATTACTGACAGGCTGGCTAATCAGGTTACTGAGACTCTAACACAGGATGGTGGGGCTGGTTTCTCATTTTATATGATGCAAGTTAGTAGTAGGGTCATCCTCTAAGAAACTTTGATCTGAAATAACAGCACTGTGTTACAATTATGCAGCTAGGAAATCCAACGCACATTACATAACAATGGGTTTAGACTCTTAAAGGAGGGTCATTTAAATAACTAAATACAACAAATCATTTAAACAATTACATAAAATAACTTAAAATAATTGTGTTAAAACAGTTAAATGAAAATATTTTAAATAATTTGATATAAAATAATTAAAACAATTAAATAAAATAACTTAACTTAATTAAATATCCAATATGCACTGGATATTTACTTTAGAAACAATGGGTTAAAGGAGGATTTATTAAATAAATAAATACAATAATTAATTCATTAAATAATTCATTTAATAATATAAATTAATAATAATAATGTATTTTAATAATTTTATTAATTAATTATATAATTCATTTACATTTTTTTATAATTTATTTTAATAATAAAAAATAATAATTCAATTAAAATAATATAAAACTATTTTAAATCATTTTATTTCAAATAACAATTAAAATCCAATGTGCACTAGATTTCTTACCTGCATAACTGGAAAACAGTGCTGTTATTTTAGTTAAGAGTTTATATGTAAATAAATATACACTCTGTTATAAAGAATAAGGGTGAGCAAATCATTACTATGGTACGGCCACAGTACTTTAGTAAGGGTACTCAACTTTATTAGTAATTCAATGTTTATTGAGTACGTGCCATGGCAATACAATGGCTTGTTTGACATATGCTGGACATACCATGTGAATACAACGGTAAATTAACTAGGTAATCATTCAACATCATTGTATATGTGTCAAAGTACCACTTTATATGCTACTATGGCACTACAGTATCATTGGGCCTACTGGTTTGTATGAATGCTCCGGATTTATGGGATTACCTCTGTGCCAATGAAAATGAATGTAATTTTTCAAGAAACTTATGAAAATATCAATTGAAACTGAATAAAATGTCTTTGAAACTGACAAAATAAATAAATAAATTGCAGGCAAAATCTTTGAGTTCGTTTTTAATACACTGCATGTTTTGCAATGGTTTTCTCCTCTTTCATTAGCTGATCTGTACTTACAAATGCGCTTCCGGAGTTTTCATTTACGCTTCTGAAGTTTTCGTTTACCATTCTGGCATTTTCGTTCGCCATTCTGACACAAATCTCTCGTGGGGGCGGGGCTAGCAGCAGTGTGTTCCCATTGGCTACTGAGTTTTTGATTGACAGCTTCTTGACCTGGAAGTGAAGGCGTCAATGTTGCCTTGTCAGTGTGGATGTGAGCGTCTGTTAGCGGCTTCCAGTTTCATTTTAGTGATATAAAGTTAGGAGTTTTGTTTTTGAATTAAATCTGTATTTATCTGTTGCTACTACTCTGTCAACATAAGCTTTTAGGAGCGCGAGGAATCAAACGCGAGAGAAAAAGAAGGTCATATTGAGGTTTAATTATTAAAGTACTGTAGGCTATATAATATTGGAAATATTGTATAATGTCCAATGTTCTTGTAGGATATTTGTTTATTGCTCATGATTCTTTTGCATTGTAGGGTCTAATTAGGTTGTGCCATTACATTTGAAATACTATCATATATGTGTGATATATTCAGACGTCAAGAAAGTCTCTCTCCAACCAGGCAATCAAGCTCATTTTATTACATATTCCACACAAAGAATGTTCTTGCAGCCAATTGTATTTATCATGCTGATAATTTTGTTTAGTTATTTTATTTAGTTAACATTATCATCTAACGTTTAAAGTTGGAAATACATTTGAACAACCATCAACTCTTTCAAGTGTGACTTTTATAAACCAGTTTTAATGAATGTAAATGAAAATATGAATTAGTTCAAATAAATGTACATTCTTTATTGTCACTATAGCATATACAGAAGTATCAAAGTGAAAGTCTTGGATGCAATTATGTTGTGACAGGAAAGACCAGAATCCACGAAACACTAACTGCATAGTATACATGTAATGCACAGTATTCTCATAATTTACATTACTACACAAAATGCACAAGAACATAATATACAGAATATGTTCACAATTCATAATATGTTTTAAACTGCAATGATCCTTTCAACAGTTCCTGTTACAGTATAAGTTACAAAACAGTGAATGAGTATGTTATGTAATGGAGTGCAATATCAGTCTTTACAGGAATATTCCACCCC